CCCCTAAAGTTTAGTTGAAAACGATGTCTTTCCGGCTAGAAACCATCTTTAAGCACAAGTTAGGTTGACCGATCCTTCTTTTTTGTGCTCTAGCCTCCATTGATCCAAAAAGGCTGTGCTACCCCCTCCCTCCCTCCCCTTCTTCCCAACTACATTTCCACACCACATTCGAATCACAACTTGAAATTCAATATGCGAGTAATGGCAAAACATGAAATTCAAAGGAAACTCTTAATTCGAAAATATGAACCGAAGAGGTAAAACATGAATAGACAATCTTACCCGAATGCATTCTGGTGCCAGCGATACCAACTGCTCTTCACCAAGAGGGTGCCTCCCAACGTTGCTCGCACATCCGTCGACATCAGTAAACACTGAAAACGAAGTCTGGTAAGGCCTCAGAGTAGGTCACCACAAGTAGTGGTAACAGTCGATCCGTCAATGGCAACGCAGCACAAAACCACCAAGACGAACCTATGCGATTCCCCTTGTTGGCGTTGTCGTTTCGCACAAAATTCAAGCAGGTGATGTTGTGCCAGTGCTCCAAAGCTAATTCGATGATCCGCTGTTCTCGTGACGCTGAAATTTCCACAAATCGGCCAAATATCGAGGAGGTCAGAGCTCAATGAACGTTACGCGTGGGTCGTTTGCACGGAATTGAAATGGTCTTCGAATAGCGTTCAGCTCAGGGAGCGAGCCAGACGTCGATTGGTCGATTTGAAAGGAGGACAAGCTGGGCTGTTTTCTATGGAATACATTCCCACATTTGACTTCGAGTGAATATTAGGGAAGTTACTTGCTACAGCACCATACTTGGTCATGTGGGTCAAAACAGCTACGAAAAAGTGAGATGAACAAGTGAATCGAATCGACTTCACTCCAAATAGTCGCTGTCAAAAAAATTTTCAAAAAATGGACATCCTATGAGTACTATGCATCACAAATAACTGTTACTGCAAACGCTGAATGGCATCTCATTTTGCCAAGACATTTCACTACTTCATTGATACAGAGGGAGTGTCTGGTAGGAATCAACCTTTCATGACCACAGATTCGAGCCTTTACGTAATGGAACAAGAGCGCGATGTCAAAAAATGAAACTCACTGTGTGATCCGTCAAAACTGTAAATGATGGGACGCGTCGGATCCCATCGACGGAGATCCGATCCAATAAACTTTCGTTTCACCCGCCGTTGGCCTGTTTTCAAGGCGTTCTCGTAGATCTGTTTCGCTTGCTCGGGAAACAGAATAATATCACCTGACAGTATGGATGTATTGGAACTCATGGGCAAAATCGATTTCAGATGATGGCTAAGAGGAGACCGAACCAGTGAGACAGCCAGTAGTGACAGATTTACCTTCAAAGTGTCGTCCGTATTCTTCGGGGTTTAAGAGTTCTGTTTCGAGGTCGTCTCGCATTCGTTTTCGCCATTTGTACGCATCATCCTCTGCTGAATCCTGCAAATTATCGGTAATATGCTCAATCCTTATAAAATGAAGTAGAAAGGTACTAGTATCGGTTTCGAAATATGAAGCTCAAGTTGGAACCCAACTTTTCAGGACTTGAGCTCCAATGTTTCTTTGAACATAATAAACTTCTATAATGGTTCTTCAACTTCGTCCTGCCAAAGGGCTTTAGAGGCAATTTCTTTCGGGAGTACGGCTTGTGATCCTAGTCATTGTTGCTCTGATTTCGACTTATTACGGTCAAAGTCATAACAAGGGGTCGATCTCGTTTTCGAATGAAGATCACGGCTCAATAACCCTTACATTTCGTGCTCGTCGTTCGAGAGAGGGAATGGACTGCCTGCTTCACTGTTTACTCCATTTTCTTTATTTGGTCACAGTCTTGTGTATTCGCTCTTGTTTTCTTCCCTTATTTTGACAAAGTGGTTGAAATTGCCAGCAACAAATGTATTGTACGAATCACAGACGAGGCTGAATCCTTCAGTGTACTTCAAGCCAGAAGCTCATCAACACGATGCTTCGACACCACATTCTTGCCCCTTTTTAATGAGCCGTCGTTCTCGATTCTGCCGGCACCCTTAGGTGTAAGGTAAATCAAGTAATCATTATTCCCTTTAATACGAATCCTTTACCTTAAACATTCAATGCTCTTTCGGAAAGCCAAAGTGAATCGCAACTAAGGCCTCTCTTATCAGGTTTGGCGTATGTCTCCCTCGAACGCACTGTGCTTGCTGTGGAATACTAGTGGAGGCGAAAATTTCTAACAATAAGAATAAGAAGGTCTATGTCCAAGAACAATGACCATTGTAGGGAATGCCTTGGTTGAGAGTGGAGGTTGCCACCCTAAGTTGAAGGGTTCTGGGGAAGTCAGCTAAATCGTTACTTGTATAGTGATATTGTCTTTCACCAAAAGAAAACGTCTTAATGGCTGAGACAGTTCCAAATGCGGCTTCCTTCAAACTCAAGCTGTCTCATAACTATAGCCAAGAGGAGAGGATCCACACACCATGCTTAGTTGCCCTGGAAGATCGTCATGAAGCACGCCATGTGTCGTTCATTCATACTATCATAAGTGATTTTTCGTGTGGAAGCTCCTCAATGTGAACGCAACAAGTGTGTTCTACAGAAATGAGTTGAAAAAAAGTAAACCCGTATGGGTTGAGCCACAAAAGTTGGAATGACTTAGGGAATTGACACGAACGATCCGTGAGGCTTGCTAGCTTCGAGCAGCTTTGCCTCCTATTGACTCNNNNCCTGTTCTCATAAAGGGCCTATTGAAAATAGCTCTGACTGCGGGAAAACTGGCGTGGCTGCTCCTCTACCATTCATGTCTCTTAGAAGTAAAAAGGCTCGTATGTTCTCAAAATCTACCAAGTCCGGCTCTGAAAAGCAGGTCTCTATGATCCTAGAGATTTAAATCTGAACCTTGTTCTCTAATGTCCTCGGAAAGTAACTCATTTGGCGTCGATATTATGTGTTTACTAGTTATCATCACCAAAAGGTAAAACAGAGATCAATTAGGATAGGTTCCGAAGGAGCGAGCGCGTAAACGCCACCCGGCGCTTTCAACCTCGACGCTCATACCCACTCTCAGTCGATTTGTAACCGGTTTTTTCGGTACACTCTTCAACAAAATGAAATCACACAAACCTATTCAGTTAACATCACACATTGAAGCTGAAAAAATACATACGGACTTCGGAAAACGTCTTGGATCTGCACAAGCTGAGAGGGAATTCAAACAGAGAAAACGCAAAAGTCAATGTTCAAGATTTGGTGCTAGAAAAAAAAAGAAACAAATTGTGAAAGTAGCTGAGGAAGAGCACAATTACACGACCAACAACAGAGACAAGAGAAACGGATTCCGAAGAGATCATACTGAGAATCTGCGAAGGACCGCACCCAACATGGTCCGCACATCTTGAGCCTGAGCAGGTCTTAAAGATCAGTTGAATAAAGGAAAGAGTACTGAATGCAAGCCGATTCGTCCGTGTCATAGTCGCTCTGAGTTTTATGGGTCCAGGGACGCAAAACTATTTGAATGCAGATTGAGTTTGGACAACGAAGGGTGACATTCCAAGCTACAGCTACAGCAACTCACAAACCTACTCCAAACGAAGACAGGAAAGAAGTACTTCGTACTCCGGTCGATTATATGCAGCCACGTTATGGAGGTGATATTGACACTTTCAACAAAGGGAAGACCGTCTCAGTTCATTACTCGTTGCGCTTGCTCTACCGGAAAAATATAGCACTTCACCTTGTGCTGTGATGACAGAAGTTCTGTGATGGAACGGGTTTTTTGGCGAACTCTCCCGTTCAGCCGTCACACGAGACGCATGGGCAACAAAGGTGCTCATCTTCTCGTAGCTATCAACTGTATTAATGTATATATTCAATAAGCTGGACGGTTTGTTTTTGAATCAGCTGTTTTTCACAATTCCCAGTCACCTTCACACTTGTGAGCATCAAATATATGGAGCGTCCCAGATGTGCAGCGCTGAGCGGTTCCCATTCCCATGACCACATCGTTTTTAGGGGAAAAGAACAATATTCACCGTTTACACTCACTTGTTGCATTCAATTACTACAAGTAGACCTGATGGAACCGCGACAGATTCGAATTAATTGTAGTCTGCAAAAAAAATTCGGGTTGCTACAATCACCTAGGCTGGCCCCCGCGAGCTATTTTGGGCACGGAAACTGTTTAAAATACGGCAGCAGTTGAAAAGGAAGGTTTTAGTGGTATAGATAAAAAGCTTTCCTGAACAGTTCCCATATAGGCAAGCACTTTCCCTTGCTGATGACTCAAAACGGGTTGTATGCAAGCCCAGTTTTTGCTTGATTAGTTGGCACTGAAGACAGCAGGAAAGCTACGATTCCTAAGGATGACTCTTGAGAATGTGGCAGGGAAGCGATAACTCAAAAATTTGAGCCTGGGATGAATTTGTTCAAAGACACACGAAGCTTATCCATAACGTGAATGGATTTCACTCACAAATCGGAAAGATTCACTATCTGATCTGTGAATGCATGACAGTCGAGTCAGTTTAGGGCGTCAGACTGAATATTTGAAGAAACTCAATCCAA